TTTGCTTTTGATGCAGCCTGAGCTGACCAATAGGATTCCCTTCTCCAAAGGCAACCGCAGGAGAAGGGGGTCCCAGTGTCGAAGGCAAAACACAAGAAAGGGTTCTGTCATGGACGAAGAAATGAAACCATGGGGAACTCTAGGAAAGAGATCCACGCAGAAACATGAAATGGTCACCGCACGACGGCTCTGCCTTTCAGTTAGTCCAGTTGCTGCATGTGGGAAAACGCAAAAGCAGAATGGACTGCTTCACACAGCCACGAGGGGCAGCCCCAGCTCTGAAATCACCTGGAGGCCGGTTGCTCTGGGCTGTCTGTATCTACCTGAGGATTGGCCAAGACACCTGCCTTCCCTTCCTCTTCTATACCAATGCAGGCCTTCACTAAACATTCATTCTTCCAGAACATTAAGATAGGGGGGGGGGGGGGGGAATGGATGAAACCGCTACTTTTTAGGAAGAGATTGGATTTGAGCTGATATTTATGCCTCTAAAGATTTCAATCAGGTATAATTCACTCTCCTTCACTAGTGGAGCTACCTGTCAATGTCAGGGGGAAAGGTGGAGAGTTTCACATGCTTTAATTAAGAGAAACCCAGCCCTTTTCCCTACAAAGTAAAAGCATCCAGATACAGGCAGAGAACGAACCCAAAAGCCATTGTGGGACCAACCAGATGAAGTCACAGGCCCTACTCAGTCAATTATTTGCTTGGGAGCCAGACCTACCTCAAATATAGCCCTGGCCCCTATGGCTTCCTTGTTTAGGAACTGCAATGTTTCAAGGTTCAGTCTCCTGGATTCTAGGGTTACCTCTAAAGGATATCATCTCCTCTGTGTCGTTAAACTGATGCTGACTATTCCCCCAATTATATCTGCAGCCTTGAGTTCTCTGCTAAACTCTAAAATCTAATATCTAAATGCTTTCATGACATCTCCTCTTGGATGTCCGAAATTCACCTCCTAAGTGATTCTGCTCCCATCTTCCTAAGCTTCCCTTCCTACAATCTTCCTCATCATTCTAGCTGCTTAGGGCCCAAACTTCACTATCAACCTAGACCTTCTCATCCCTCCATCTAAACCACCATCAATGCCTGCTAGTTCAACCTTTAAAATAGTTCTAGAACGTGCTCTTTGTTTGCACCTCTACTATTGTATAAAGTCAGTATTAGCTTGCACCTGTATTTTTATAATGGCAAGCAAGGCCATGCTATGCCTTCACTCAAAACCCTCCCAATGGTTTCCCATCTGCATTAGTTTCTCATTGCATCTGGAACCAACTCCCACAGGCAGTGTCTAGAAGCAATGCAAATGTACTCTCTTATAGTGCCAGAGCTCAGAAACTTGAACTGAGTCTCACAGAGCTAAAATCTAGGTACTAGATGCTGCATTCCTTCTGGAGACATCACAGGAGAAACCACTGCCTTGCCCTTTTCAACTTCTGGAGCTCTCAATTCCTTGGCTCATGGCTCACGCCCATCTCTTGCTTCCATAGCCCCATCTCCCACTATTGGAGTCTGGACCCGTGATTGCCTATTGGAAGAACACTTGTGGTCACATTGAGCCTCATGAGTGGTCCAGGAAAATCTCCCCATCACAAGATCCCTGACTCAATCGTGCACTACAAAGTCCCCTTTAGCATGTAAATGAACACATTCACAGGTTTGGGGGTCTGGGATGTTGAAATAGTTGAGGGGCCAATATTCAGCTTATTGTACTCTCTATCAAAGTCAAAATCCAAGCCCTAACAAGTTCCCCTGTGACCCAGTCAACACTTTCGATATCAGGTCACTTTTACAACTCTCCGCTTCACTCCTTCAGTTCCAGTTACAGGAGCCCCATAGCCGCACCTTAACACAGGAGCCCTTCTTAGGACCCTGGCACTTGCTGATACATCTACTGGGAAGAGCTCCTCCCTCTCTTAGGTCTTTGCTTAGTGACACCGCGTTACAAGTGAGGTTTTTCCTGATGACTCTGTGTAATCAGGAAACTACAGCCCATCCCCAGCCTCTGACAAGCCTATGAGTTGGATGGAATGGGGATGGAATCTCGATGATCGGTCCCCTCGAACTGGAATGCCAGCTCCCAAAGGGATGGCCTGACTCTTGCTGCCTCCACAGGAAAGAAAACCCAGAGCCAGAGCCCAATAGACAGTTCCTGACGAAGTCAATTTACTTCATTAAAAATAGAACCTCCTTGTCCAAGGGATCAGGTATCAGGCATCATCAGAACAAAAAAATCATATCATTGTGAATGAGGGGGAGTACAGAATGGGGAACCAAAGCCCATCTGTAGGCAACTAGACAGCCCCTTATGGAAGGGTCGC